TAATGCCTATATGTATTGTGTTATGTATCCCATAATGCAATGGTACAGTCTCAGAGATTGACCACCTCCCCTTTAATGCCTATCCGTGATGAAACTAAACTATGTTTTCTTCTTGATTGAACTCATGGTGGCGCTCTTTACTCCCAACTTACTTTTCCAAGGCAAGGGCCTTCATGAAAAAAAAAAAGCACATGCTTTGATTTTGTCATTATTGTCTATAGCATATAAGTTATTGATGTTGGCCAATCTGATCACCCCAGTGCACTTGTTTACAACCCTGGAACCCTTGGAATGTATTAAAGCCTAAACCAGTGGTACATATAACAAACTAAATTTCCATTTAAATTAACGGTCATTAATCATCATATAAAAAGAATTCTGATTGGTTGACAGTTTTTTTATGGTTTGGCCTTTTACCACTCCATTCATTTGACGTTTTCAATGGGAGCATTTAAAACGCCTTGATCCATTGACGTCAGATAACAAAATCTATTTATGGACGGTTCATATAGGCACATGCTGATTGTGTGTTAGTTTATGGTATTCCACTTGATAAAGGTCATTGCTGTTGTCGGCAGAATCATCCGAGTTGATTCTGGACTATCAGTGACAAACATGACATCGGACAAGCTACCCTGAATCCCCAGGAGGATCATTTGCAGGAAGTCTTCACCAACTGACTATTTTCTGTCTCCAGCTACTCAGTCTATTTTTGTTAGACAGCTGTACCATGGTGCAGTATTACACATGTGATGACATCCTGTGTCATGTTACATCAACATTTTTTTACTCATTCATTTTTTTTTTTAACTTGAATGCTGTGAATTCGGGGAACCCACGACGATTTTTTAAATTTTGAACATAATTTTTAGTGTTTGTACGATATGAAGTATTGCTATTTTTATATATATCTTTTGATATTTACATGACGTTAACATGGCCGGTATTCTCAACAACATATGGCATCCGGCAAAGAATATGTACTATATTTTACCATATCTTTGGAAGAAATCCTGGATGGTAAGGTGTCGCTCTCTTTCAATTTAAACTTTGCGTGGTTGCATCTCATGATTTGTGAGTCTGGGTTTTTAACCTCACCTACCATGTGTACTTAGTAGCAGTAAAGCCACCATGTTTTCATTTACAGTTCAGGCACCAGCATATTTGCATACTAATTATCTCATTCATTTTTCGCAAAACAACGTCAACAAAGGTTAGGAGATTTGTGTTCTGGCATGCAATACAGTGCATCGACGTTCAGCAGGAATGTATTTCAAAGCTATTTACTAAAAACAAAAAGCAACTTGTAGATTCTAGCATGGAAATCAGGCACTGGTTTGACCACAGTTCTGTTTTTTCTCTTAAAGGACACCCTCAATATTTTTGACTTTTGCTGCAATTGGATTGATTAGATTTATCAGTATTAACAGTTTACTACTTACCCCCCTCTCTATAATAGACTAAAGCATTTATTTAGGCGCAAACCAGTCAATAACAAAAATAAAAACAAACACATTATTTTTGGAAACTGTTGACTGTCTTGAGATTATTTTTCAAAAGCTATGCAGCCATGTATATTACTTGTTTCATTCCTACCACTTCCTGTGCTGAGCTATTTCGATTTGGTTTCATCTGTTAAAAATAGAGCACTGGTAATATGAATATATTAAAATATGAAACTGAAATTGATATCTTGCAATTCCATGTGTTGTTGTTTTCCATCTGAATTGTTAGATTTGTAATTGATTCTCCAATATCAGCTTTTTTCCATATTTTTTTTCCAATTTTTTTATCAAGACCTGTAGCCAGTGGGAAAATACAATGTATGTTCATTTAGTCAAAAATTAACAATAAAATTTCAAAAAATGACCTAAAAGTGTGTGAATATCATGAAAACAAAGTATTCTACACACGACTATGATGCTATTTACTTACTATATTTTGGTAGAATGATACACTTGAGACAAGATACACAGGATTAACATTGAAAAGTCCATTTTTTATTTTTTTTATATTTTGTTTATAATCTACTGATGTTGACTACTAAATGACTTCATGATTTATAAGTTCTAACAATACTGGATTTAAGGCTACAATAATGTTTACACTGCCATAGTATATAATCAATTACACTTGATTTATAGTACACTTGCCTCTTTAAATTAATGCTAGTTCATTTTATAGCACTGTGACAAGATCATGGTCCTGTTTAATAGTGCCCTGATAGGAAATCAATATTAAATATTTTCTTAAAGCTAAGATTTGTCTGACAATTCTTTGTGTTAGAGATACCTCTTCATGTGAGTCTCAACTTTATACTAGTTGATACTGTGTAAACTTGTAAGTCTATTTTAAACTTGCAGGTAGAGCCTGCATATACATGAATAATGTATCTAATTTAAGAAAAGTGAAAACAACTGGGTACTGTTGCCAGAATGTAAGATGTATAGTTTGATGTATGTTCCAAGGATTTTTATGATTAGGGAATGCAAGGCGGTGATGTGCAATAAAGATTGAAGAAGTCACACAAATTGCCATACGATCTCAAAATCACAAGGGAAACCTACAATTCTAGATATTCTAATGCAAATTAGTGAGTCATGTCTCAGACCGTTTTATGACAGCGTCATTGCTTATTTGCAAATTGTGTGACATGCGTGTTTTATGTATTTCAATTTAGAGATGGTATCACTCATTACGCAATTGAACTTTTCAAAAGTATCCACTGAGTTCTGGGATGTTATTGGTTAGAAATATGTTCAATTGATGCAAACAGAGTGGGGTCACTTTCAAGTGTTCACAATTTGGGAGAGTTTGTAAGACAACAATTTACAAATTTCACCAGTTAGTAAAAATTGGGTAGCAGCGAGAAACTATGGGGCCATGCGAGTGTTAATGACTTTTGCAAAATATCGTCTTTACAATTGTCATAAAGTCATCAAATTATGAGAATACCTAGGAGCAAAAATTAAGCAGTGTACAGTCCGAAGGAAGAACTTTAAAAAACTGTAGATTTGTGAATCTGCTGTAACCTAAAATGTCACTCACACATTTGTAGCTTGGTTATTCTGTAATCGCATTTACAGGCATGCCATTCCTCAAAAAATATAGTTTTGAAAGAAAGTGAAAGTGAAAGTCGTGGGTGTAGGTGGATAGACAATCTAATTGTAGTGCAAGACCTATAGTCAACAGAATCCAGAATTTGTTTACAGTTGAACTGTGAATCAAGCAACTTGCAACATTGTGTTTGTATCTGTTGAGATATATTGTCAGTGAACACTCAACAGATGTGAAACCTGTCTATTAATTGGGCAAACCATTTATTCAGTAATTTAATAATTTTAATTTGGCAAACTGAACAGTCACTATAGACTGGTTTCACTCTTCTCTTACAGGTTGTACTATGCATGTTTTTATGTTTGTTTGTTCACACTATTTACTCCCCTTTTAGGGTAAATTGATGTTGCACATGATACTTTATGTTGTATTTATGTTGCACATAATGTTATGTATTAAAATCGCTGCTCTACTGTAATTCTTACTAGTTTTTAATAATCAATCGTTCTTGTTCGCTTTTCTCCTTACTTTTCCAATCCTGGATTACAGCATTGGAAACATGACGAGGTAGGGTATGATGTAGAAAAGTCTTTTTTTTTTCTCCTCCTTCTATTTTTCTGATAATCCTCACACGCCATGTTTGGTGTTTATTGCCATGCTAACACTAAATTACTGTCTAGTTGTTTGTACTAACTTTGCTGTGATATGTTGTACCTGCACAAAATCACTAATTTATACGTCAATGTGGTATGGAAACTTCTCTAATTTGATTTGTTTATTTTACTTTGTTTTATCAATGCATGTCACAGATTTGTTTTATGTCCAATATTCCCACTGCTTCACACCCGTTTAAAAAATTTAAATTGCAAAGCATCATGGGAAATTGATTTTAAAATTGCAGGGCCATCTTTCCTTATCCATTTTAGCCCTCCCCACTCAATTTGCCGAGCATCATGGGAATTGCCTTTACATGAATGCACTGACAGCCAAGGCGCTAGGAACACTCAGAGTTTTCAAAGCTTTACCAGCTGTTGTCTGTAATTCCATTTCACAATGACCCCAAAATATCAGCAGAATTTATCAGTCATAGTTAGAATATATATATTGTTTGATTGATTGATTCGTTTTAACTTACACATTAATTAACGATATTCTCAAACGTGCACCTACATATAAGCACATGACAATGTCTCGGTGAAATGATATTTTACCGGAATTTTGGTTTAGTAATATACATTGATAGTTGCACACACAAATTCACATCTCACTTTATATCAATCAATACACATCACTAGGAAATGTTAGTAATACATCTGTTTACACCCAGACACTCACGTCACCATGCATGATGTATATATACACACATACACAAGAGGCACTCATGGTAGTATATTGTTGCTAAGCTTGGATGGTTCTAATGTATTTCTTGGAATAAAAGATACTGGAAACAGAGCTTCTGTTAAAAAAGCAGAAAAATGACAAAATAGGCAGAGTTGCCTGAAGTATACTGCATATGGAATATGCAGTTGATTGACATTTTATCGGCTTTTTGAACCTTACCAACCACCTGATCTTGATGAGAAAACATGAGAACTATCCAGTCTGCACTAGTGGGACATTAGTAGATAGACTTCAATTGTTCTTAAGCATGAAGGAACCCAAATATTCATCCCTTCACCCGTACATCAGTTTAGTGCCCCCATCCTCCCAAAACTATTTGTCCTTGAGGTTAATGTTCCTATTGTGGTTTTAACATTGGTATTGTCATGCATGTTGGTTACATCGTGGGTGTTTACAACAAAATAAAAATTACAAGTTTTAACTCATGGTTGATACTTGGTGTCCTTAACATTTTTGTGTAACCCTAACCTCAGTAGTCATAGTGATGTCTTTTGTGCGTTACTGATCAGTTTTTAACTGTATTGTTCTTTTTTTTATTCTAGGCTCGTAAACAGGTCACTGACCTTTACGAAGACATGAGAGATGGACATAATTTGATTTCATTATTGGAAGTACTATCACAAGAAATTATTGTAAGTTTTAAGTTTATTAGTCCCTGTTCGGACGCAGTTTTGACCTTCGTGTGTCCGTATGTGCGTGCGTGCGTGTGTGCGTCTGTGCGTGCGTCTGGATCTGTATCTTAGAAATGCCTGGACCAATCACAATCAAACTTCACACATATATCATACATGATATTATACATATGCACGTCAATTTGTTTCACGATCTGATTTTTGTGCTAAAATCAACAAAATCAAGCATTTCTCGGCTGTTTACAGATGGATTTTGTTCAAACTTGGTATATACATTAGACATTATGGGACATTGATGCAAATAATTTTGTTTTTCAGATAAGATTAAAAATGGTTGACTGGCGGCCATTTTGTTTTAATGAATGTGGATCTCGTGCCATATCTCTGACTTGCTTTCACTGATTATGTTCAAATTTTAAATATTCATTATACATCATGTCATAGATAGACAGATATATTGGTTTGACGATCCTATTCAAAATGGCCAAATGGTGGCCATTTTTGTGCTAAAAAATCATCAAATATCAAGCATTTATGGATGGATTTTGTTCAAACTCGGTACATACATTAGACATTACAGGTTCCTGATGCACATCATTTATTTTTCAGATCAGATTCAAAATGGCTGTCTGGCGGCCATTTTATTTTAATGAATGGGCTTCTAGACCCATATCTCCGACTTGTTTTGACTGATTATATTCAAATTATAAATATTCATTATACATCATGTCATAGATAAACAGATATATTGGTTTGACGATCCTATTCAAAATGGCCAAATGGTGGTCATTTTTGTGCTAAAAATCATCAAATATCAAGCATTTCTGGCATTTATGGATGGATTTCGTTCAAACTTGCTACATACATTAGACATTACAGGTTCCTGATGCACGTCATTTTATTTTTCAGATTGGATTCAAAGTGGTTGACTGGCGGCCATTTTGTTTTAATGATTGGGCTTCTAGAGCCATATCTCCTAAATGCTTTGACTGATTATATTCAAATTTTATATATTCGTTATACATCATATTATATATATATACATGTATTCAAAATGGATGATTTTGAATGCTGTTCCAGAGCAATATCTCTCAATATGGACAAGTACTTTTTTAAGATCAGATACAAATGTCAATCATTTTAATGTTAAAAAATCATATTCCTGACATGGTTATATTCCAGCTATATTACTATAAACAAAATTATATATCTTAAATTTGATAACTAACAGGGACTGTGCCATGCATGGCTTGTTTTCTTAATTGTACATTCAACTAACCAAAAATCATTGAAAATAAGTTCCATACAAAACACCCAAACAGTCTTTTCAGCAAAAATAAAGTATTCTACAGTATATCTTGTAGCCCTCCCTTCCCCTAATAAAAAAAAATGTTTTTTTTTTTACTATTTTAATTTTAGAATTGATCTTTTATTTAAATTTTTCATGAAAATAAGGTATATTATTATTGTTTCCAGTCAACATGCACACCACTGAAAAAAGTGTGGGCCAGTACTCTCTGCTGACAAATTGATTAAACTTGTAAAATTTATGTGTTATTTTTGCAGACAAAAAGCTTGTCTCATCGCCCCTTTAAAAAAAAAATTGATAAATCCTGTATTTTATTCATATTGGTAGAATTCTGGGCTTGTACAATGTACATTGTACATGTATCAACCAGGTTGAACAAAGAACAAAATGGAATTTAGTTTTCAAATGATTCTGCTCATCATGAGAGCATTAATGGTACCATCTTGATCATTCATTTGCTGCAGAATATTAAGTTCGTACCAAGGGCAGTTAAGGGAGATCATATATTTAATGCAGAATGATAATAATTAATATTTTTTTCCTCTAGCCAAGGGAACGAGGAAGACTCAGATTTCATCGTCTTCAGAACGTGCAGAATGCGTTAGACTTTCTTCGTTACAAGAAGGTGAGTTTTATCGTTTAAATTTATCCATTCTGCACCTCAGTTACATTAAGAACTGGTGCTGTGTTTGAAATTTGAAATAGTCACCAGTACCCCTTTGAATTATTGTTGATAATACTCAGCAATGTATTTTTGTTTTTAAGTCAGAAGAAAAAATGCAAATGTAGTTCGTCCCAACAAAACTGGAAAGCCACTGTCTGTCCATAAATATTTTTGTTTTTACTGCTAAAGTAGTTGGTCATTTTGACCTTCTACCATCTGATTTTTCTATCACTGAATATTTAATCCACAGAAAAATTAGGTGATTTGTTTTGTCATCTATGATGTCAAGAAAACTTCCCTCAATTAATCTGTGTAAAGATTTATATTTAAATTCTTTTTTTTTTCAATATAGATCAAACTTGTCAACATCCGGAATGATGATATTGTGGACGGGAATGCTAAATTGACTCTTGGATTAATATGGACCATCATCCTTCACTTCCAGGTAGGTACTGTTACCTGGCAACAAATAGTTGCCAAGCAACACCACTTGTTTTGTTTGCTGTCCAGATGTCCATGAGGGGGAAAATGAAAAATGTATACTCACAACTGAAAATGTTGTATCTGATACACGGTTCGTAACAACCATCGTGATTGGCTCATTTCGCTCAGGGTTGAATAACCAACCAATCATACCAAATTTATCATTCAGTGGTAGAAAAGTTTTTTCAGTCACTTTTGAAATGTCAAATTCATAGGTCAAAAAACAAAAACATCATGCATTAGTCTCATTGCGTATGTGGTGTGAGCCCAATACATCAGGTTTAAGAGACAAATTAAAAGAACAAATCTAGTTGGTTAATGCTAAATGTTATTTGACACCTTACCCTGATGGACAGGGTCATTACTTGCTTCCTTTCTTAAACAGCATGCCCTCTTGTGGCAAAAGTAGATTTTGTGGCACAAATTTCATATACTATAAATGGGAAAGTTTCTGAATGAATTACTATAAAGAACTTATAAATGTGATAGAAAAATAATCACAAATTCTCGATCGATGAAAAGAATTACAGCATATGTGTGTACTTTTATTGGAAGTGTGCTTCAAATAGAGCAAATAGGTGGTTTCTGTTTTGTATGAAATTAGCTTAGATAGTAGTGAAAATATGTGCACATTTGTAGTCCAAAATGCAGACTGTGAATGGAAACAATACATGCCCATAAATCAAACCAATTGTGATGCTCCTGTGAAGATTGTTGTAGCAAAAGAGAGTAATAAATAACTTTGATTCGCCCTTGGGATGTTTCTGAATTAGCATAAATTTGAATATCAAATACATGCTTCATGAATGGGACAGGCGTGGCATAGATTTTATCCAGAAAGAAAATTTTGTAAACAAAACTCAAATAATTATACTGATATAATGATAATAAAATAAAAAGCTTTATAAATAAATAATAATAAAAAGTAACTTGAAAAATGTATGCTATTTTTATCATACTGTGGAATACTTTATTTTCGCTGGAATTAATTTTCGCTGAAAAGGCTTTTTGGACGTTTTGTATGGAATTTATTTTCACTGATTTTTGATGAGTTTAATGTGAAATAAAGGGGAAAAAAATATATTCGCTGAATTATATTTTCATGGAATCATCCCTCCAGCGAAAATAGACAAAATAAATTCCAAGCGAAAATAAAGTATTCTACAGTATTCAGAAAAATCCTGAAAAAACAAACTTTGTTTTGTTGTTACTTGTGTAGCTAATACTGGAATATCACCAATGAAGTCAGATTTTATTATAGCATAATGGAGCAGTAAATAGTCTATATGCAGCTTTATTACTAATAAATTAAAACAACTGGTACTTTAACTTTATGATTTGAATTGATATGAACTATTTAGGAACACCATAAATGTTGTCCCTTCATACAACCCTGTATAATTTTTACAATACTGTAAAATACTTTATTTTCACTTGGAATTAATTTTCGCTATTTTCACTGAAGGAATGATTCAGTGAAAAAAAAATCCAGCTAATATACCTTTTTCCCTATACTTTACATTCAACTTGTCAAAAATCAGTGAAAATAAATTTCACGCAAAACACCAAAAAAGTCTTTTCAGAGAAAATTAATTCCAGCTAAAATAAAGTATTCTACAGTATATCAAAAATTTTCATTCTACCAAATACTGTGAAATACTTTATTTTAGCTGGAATAAATTTTTGCTGAAAAGCCATTTTGGCTGTTTTGTATGAAGTTCATTTTGAGTTAAATTTCAAACATAAGAAAAGGGGTATTTTCACTGGGTTTTATTTGCACTGATTCATCCCTTCAACGAAAGTTGAAAATGTGAAAATCAAGTACTTTACAGTAGTATACTAGTGTATACTATTTTTATCTGATATTTTGCAAAGCAACTTCCCAACTTCAGTTCAACTTTTCAGACCAAAATTGGGATCCATAAATTTTTTGTTTAAATTATTTACCAAAAAATTCTCAGTCTTCCATTCATCAAGTACTCAACAACACAAATCTCACCCACACTTTTTTTTACCCCTAAAACACCTAAATTGAAATAGACAATAAAAAATGTGAAAGTTGAGAAAGTTAGGCATTTCTTTTATTAAATAGAAAAAAAATCAAGTATTTGACAATTACAGTGAATATGGTAAATCCATTGTTGCCTAGACAACATTAAACTCACAATGTACGCTAATTGGTCTAACATGTGTTCAGTTACCCCAACATAATTAATGGCACCCAGATTAAAGTGAAATACCGATAAAGTCAAAATCAGTTAGCTTGTTTGTCTGAACTGAACTGAACTACAAGCTTTTCAAATTGCATGACGACAATGTTTTTGTAGGCTTGTTTAAAAATAGGAGCCATATGGAGCTTTGAATTCTAACGAAACTTAAGAAAAAGAATGTAAAATAAAATAGATACTTGTGCACTGGAAAATCATAATAAAGAAATTCAAATTCATAAATTTTAATTTCAAACAAAATATCAACATAAGTTTTTTTTGGACCATTTAAAATACCCCAATTATGTTAGTAATACAAAGTTGGGCATTTTGGGTAAATGAAAAAATAAAATTAAAATTTGAGAAGTGTTTTTGTTCATTTTACCGGAACTGATTAAGTTACATAAAGCGAGAGTTTTACAAATTCCAAGTTTTTTTTTCAAATTCACATGGAATCTTTTAAATCCAATTATTTGGAGGGATGGCAATCTCTTTTTTTCTTCTGTTTCCATCATTTCATTATTGACACTTGGTAAAGTTCTGTAAATGTCTAGCATTGTGCAAACCAAGTTTAGTTCAAGGCTTGTCCACTAATGTGGTATATATTTATAAGTTTTGTAAGAGATTGTTCGACAAGCACCCTACTAATTTAAAAAAATTATTTTTATAAACTTCTTGGCTAATAGCTTTGAATCTTATAACCAGCTTACCCGGTAAGTTTAAAAGCTTGGTGGTATATGTGCCTAAGAAACTCGTGTCAATTATATCCATGTAAAAACACTGGTTTGACCACATGTTCTGAACACTGGAGACAGGTTATTTAGAAACGTGATACTACTAGAATACTCACAGGGTCACTGACTAAAACTAAACTAAGGAAGGTCCTAAAGGGGAGGAGATGAATTACCTACCCTAAAATCTGTAAATCAAGACCCTGCACGGTCAGTTTAACTTTGAGGTGATGTCGGGTACGAATTGACCAGGAGGCATGATTTGGTGGGTCAGTTATGCCTCAATGCGGATTCTGTGTCCAAAGTTGACAACCGTTCATTTGTAGAGCAACGTAAATCACCCAGGGAGGCCTCTGATCAAAGAGTGAAAACTTAAGATAACTTGACCATTGTACTGACTTTGTGCTGAAAAAGTGGAAGGTGGGATCATCAGCCGGGCGACCGGCGTGTGGCTCCTCTTGACTTTAATTTTCAAGCTGTGAAACACGTGGATATATTTCTGTGGTTATGTCACTGAGACAAAATGGCTCACCCCCATTACCGACCCATGCTGACCCAAGAATTGAACCAAATGGTAAGCATTTCACACAAAAAAATTGATATTATTGTGATTAGTGTTGAACTTTTCAAGCTATGGCAAGTAGCAGTGCACGATACTTACATGGATTTTGATAACATAGTTCAAGTATTGATCTTTAAATCTGACATATTTACTGCTAAAAGATGCTTGATTGCATCGTATGATTATTAAATTTAATTTCCGACAGTGTAGCTACGTCCTACTTTGTACTGGAGCACCAATAGACGAGGTCTAACCCCACTCACTCATGTCCCTTTACTCTTGTTTATAGTGCTTTTAAGTGTGATCATGTTTACTTGCCACTTAATCTTTATATCCACGGACCCAAAATAACTTTTTTGCATAGTTTTTCAGCTGTAAAGCATTCCTCAATATCCCTTGGACTGTTATAAGAAAGGGCATCGCGTATCAAATATCTGGAAATGTACTAGGATTATAAAATACCGATAATACTACGTATGAGTAACACATTTCCTTCCTATCATTTTCTGTGTGTAGAGATAGGGATAAAAAGGTTTTATCTCACCTACTGTTCAAGGCCTGTGCTCCATACTTTACTCTGTGGCTTCTGCGCCAGGTGAATGTGTACAGTTCTTAGGACGGTGTCCCAATAAACTAGGACT